CCTTTTCTTTAACAGCAATGGCATAAATGAGCCAAACTTTTAACCGATGGCATAAATGAGCCTTTTCTAAAAGTTCGATGGCATATTTGAGCCTTTTCCCATTTTAATATGATTTTAGATATTTTAAGTTGTTAGTTACTTTTTGTTTGCGCAAATTTAATGTGAAGAGGTTCATTAAGATGTCCATAATTAAAGTATTTTTCGTCATCGATCGTTGAATCTATACTCAAAGTAGCTACAAGATATTACCAACATTCAAAATAATAAAGCTATAACTAAAGAATATGAATTTAAAACTAAAAGATATAGCTAAAACAGATTCCATAATTTCAGAAAAATTATACACTAATTAAGTTAAAATAAAACAAATGAAATAAGTTTTTCAATATTTTTCCAAAACACGCTAAGCAGACACATCGATGGAGACATGACTGCTTCATTGTGAAGTCTCTTTTTTTTATATAATAAGAGAATACTAGTTTGTATCTTTAATATTTTATTATTTTCTGAGTATAATAATTGGAGCAATGAAATGTCTCATTTCAATATATGCGGACCATAGACTATATACGTCTAGTCAATAAGTCACACGGACAGCCTACAGTTACTGATGCTATTTATTTTAATCTTCAAATAATTCGCCTGGTCCCTTTTTTTCTCCTTTTGAGTTAATTAGAGTTTATAATCTAATAGTGTAAAAGCATTTTTTAAATATAATATGATATAACTTGTTTTCTTACTAAATGTAACAATAATGAATGAAAGTAGTGTACATAGAGCGCACTAGGCTCTCTATCGACAAATATCATGTTTTCAACTTTTACTTGGGTTGTCGGCCTTTGAAAAATCTTTCTAATCAGAGAAGTACAAACAAATAAACAAAAAATGTCTAAACACGGTATAAATACTATCGAAAAGCAGGGGAACAAACACTTAAAAGAATTAAAAAAATGTGACATGGCATTTCATTAGGAGAGAGATAATGCTTTTTTTTTGTCAAGTATATTTTGAGGAAAATAGATAAAGTTGGGTGATATTGTAGTCCTAAAACAAACATAAGTGATATTACTAGGTAATTTCTCAAATATGGGTGACTATCTAGGGAAATTACTCGTATCATATTTGGCCAGATCAATTTACTGCAACAGGTAGATTCATATTTAAATTCGACATTTGAATACATAATAAAGTATTTTATAGCACATGTTTGGTTCAAATTTTAAAATTTTATTGTACGTATTTTCAAATGTATAGTATGTAAATAAGTTAGTTATTTAAAATAGGAATAAGGGTCTGAAAAATATTCTAACTTTGATCGGATTTGTTATTGCGATACAAAACTTTCATGAGGACCTATTACCTCCCTAGACTATTTAATACCGTATTTTTTACCTCCTGAACTATTTAATAGTGTATTTTAAAAGGTAAAAAATACACTATTAAATAGTTCAGGAGGTAAAAATATAGTACTAAATAGTCTAGGGAGGTAATAGGTCTTTATGAAAGTTTAGTATCACAACAACAAATTCGACCAAAGTTAAGGTATTTTTCAGACCATTATCCCTTTGAATATATCATATCCTTTGTTATAAGAAGAGATCGCAAAGGCATGTTCCAAATTGAGCCCAACACATAACAGAGCGACATATTTTATATGACTGATTTATCTATGGCACATTATGTCGTAGTTTAATGGTCTAAACAAAATGTATTAATTGAATTATCTCTTCAACATTATGTGCTCAAATACTTAATTGAATTAAGTCATAGTTTAATGGTCTAAACAAAATTTTAAAATAAATTTGAGGAGTTATCAATGTATTAAGCTTAATATGTACCATCCAAGTGGACAACAGCATGACGTGCTCATTGTTTATCGACCCACGGATATAAAGATTAAAGTTCCCTCTCCTTCAGAAGAAATAAAAAAACCAATTGAATATTTTCATTCTTCCTCATCTGATTTCGAAAACTATTTATTCCAATTCAATAAATTCAAAACACTTGCCTGAACATACATTGTTTTACTTCATCAAAATTAACATACATTATCAATTCACAAAAATAAATTAGTATAGTTTGGTAATGTAAATTTTTTCCTCTTATTACCTCCATTACTTTCAAATCTATTGTACTTCACCTTAAAGAATATGATATCTTTATATTCTTCACTTTTTGTTGAGTATAATTTTGATATCATTTTAACAATGTCGAATTTATAAAGAATCTTTGCCTGGAGAATCCCTAAGCACAACACATAAATGAAAGATGTCACATTCAATAGGGGAATAATCAGATATCGTGACAATTTTTATAACCTATAAGAACGACACATTATATGTAGTATAGAGATGTCGCATTAGCAATCATATTTAATCAACAACAAAGTGATTAATAAACCTTACCAGTAAACAAGATGGTTACCAAGAATTAATATTTCATAATACATTTAGGAATTCCAGTGGAGAGTTTATCATCTCATCATAACAATGCATATCTAGTTAGGTCCATAGTTACAATGGAACTTTCAAGATAATAGAACAATATCAAGTTGAACCAATCCCCCCCATGAAGGTCTTTGGATCAGGACAATTCCCGGAGAATTGTGCCTGTGAGAAATCAAAACCAGGATTCTGCAGAGACGAGATTCTTTGTTATCAAAAGGAAGTCGTCAAATAGTAATTTTTAAATCAGTTCTGGCCTCCAATTCAAAACAGTATGTAGAAGATGCAAAACAGCTCAAGGCAGATACAAGGGTAAATAGCAGTACTCCAAGATATTGACAAGACAAGTCTTTCCTTTAGGGACTGTCTACCCGAGTTCAAGCAATATGTCTGGAAGTATATCACTCATTTGCATCTACAAATTACAAATGCAGAGAGAAACTAAAGGAAGCTAAGCTAGATGTCACGGACTTAGAGTCTCACTAAAGCTCCGTGCGGCACTTGACAACTTACTCACTAATCTTTCAAGATCTTGTAAGCCCTTTGAACTAGGATCGCTAAGAGAAGGCAAGAAAGACTTGGAAAGTTTTGGAAGAAGGCCTTGTTATTGCTTGGGGAATGTTTTACAACTTGAGTGACTTGAGTGATGATTTACAAATGGGAGGCCCTCTATTTATACTACTTCCTAGGGCCTTTGTGAAAATAATATTTACAATACAAGTCCCTCTATATTTACACTTTGGTCCACATTCTAGAATTCTCTACACTTTTTAGGAAATTCTAAAGCCTTCTTGAAAATATCTAGGGGGTTCTAGAGTTCTCCATAAGCCTCTCCACAACTCTAGATTCTTCTTGCCTATTCCGGTGCCAAATTTGAACAGTGAAGTGGCAGGACATGACATAGAGGTACTTAATTTAGTCCAATAGATTATAGATAGATTGCTCACGAAGCTTGAAGCAATACAAACACAGATATACACATACAGAAAAGGTGGATGTGTGACACAACACGTCTTAAATAGTTAATGGAAACAAAACCAGACTGTTAGAGAGAGTATGACAAGAAGTAAACCTTAAATTGAACCTATGTGGGCTGAGTTTCCAAAAAAACAACCTATGTGGGCTATGGCTTTTTGACACTAAATTTCTGTAACAGCCAAAATTGATACGGAATTGCTAAAATTTAATCATGGAGTTTGGCTTATCAATACTCATACATACAATCCAAAGACCCAAAATATGAGAATGATGTCAATATGAACTGTGGAGTATCATTTTCCAAAAAATACAAAAAGTAACTCCACCTAAAAATGCAAAATAAGGGCCAAAACAACAAGACATTTAACAATTTAACAAAATAAAAAATGAAAAGGAACGTCTAATTCCTCAATTTCAATTACGGGGTGATATGTATACGACTAGAATCCAACTGTTAAATCTTAATGTTTAATTATTGCTAAATCCAAATCAAGCGGTTTAAGACACCAAGCTAATTTTCCAGTTCAAAACTTACAAAGGCTCCACTAATTTCTCAATGACAATAAATTGAAAATGAAGCCAATTGACATTGGATTGAGTGCTATGCTAAAAAGTTCAAACTACTGGTAAAAATCTGAGAAGGTGAGTAGTGATGATATTTCTGAAGCCTAATGAGTGTATTCGTGCATTTAAGAAATCTAATTGGGAGGAGATTCATATAAAGCCTTCCAAATATTCAAAATCTCTCATACCCTGTTGTTTGACTGGCGACTAGGAGGTTAACTCCTAAGAAAAATGAAAGCAGCAATTGAACAAACAATCTGTCAATAGCTTGCAATCGTTGAGCCGGATCTGCTTTGGAATGCCAGTAAGAACTGCCACAGCAGTACAGCATATAGCAAACACGCCAGACTCACAGACTCCAATGTTTAGCGAGTGAGACTTCTAATTTTACACAGTATATGAAGAAGCAAGCATTTATTGTTCATTAAAAACTTTTTTCTCTTATTACATCCATTAAAAAAGGTAATTTCATTGCTTTCAGGAATTTTAGAGCTCCTAGCAACTAATAACAATTTAACAACAGAAGATGAACACATGGGAAGTTATGAACCCAGTCCACATGGAAGCCACTTCGTGGAAAATCATCAGATATATTTAAGTCCAAGAAAATGGTCAATTAAAAAAGCAATCCACAAATTAAACATCAATGCGTAGAAAGGGTCAACCAATTCATGAGTATGGCTAGCCAACCAAGAAGGGCACAATGAGTCAACCAACAAAAGAACAGTAAAAAAAGCAAGTAGCAATTTACTCTTCAATGAATCAACATGAATGAACAGCTTGGAAGTAGAAATCGGGTGAACACTTCAACAGAAGCAACCGCAGGTATTCCAAAATGATGGGAGAATGCAACATATGAAACATAGATTTTAGTAGAGCTTAATCATATTACCTCTTCTTGGAACCTTTGAAGCATGAGCCTTTTCTGTTCAAGATCACTGGCATATGGATCCAACTGCCCTTGGCCCAATATAGGAGAAGACCATGTCTGACCTTTATCCCTCTTCTGTAAGGTTACATGAAGTATATCATCCTCTGTCATTTACCATCTAAGTTAGAACAAATTTATCGGTATACTAGCTATTAGTAGCAATTTATCAATGATCGTTCAAACTAATCATATCTAAACCTCATAAGTTCCATAGAACTGAGAAACACTTCACAAAAATATACCCAACTGCAACTTACAACAGCTGATTCTTATAGCTAATAATTGAGCTGACTCTACTAGACTCCGTGTTCTGAACTAATAAAGTTCAAACCCTTTAACTTTGCTAAGAATTTCAGGGACATTTGACCACTAGTATTTTATATGCTCGAGACTACATGAGTTTCTTCACGCTGTTCCCTAAAAGAGAGACCACTGTACCAAGTGACAATCATCAAAAGCAGTGTGCCAGCAATTGATTTCTGTTACCAACAACTACAAAGCAACAATCGCAAACTAGCAAGGTAAGCTATACAAATCCCGTGTATCCATTTTTCCAGTTCCATAGAGATTTTGTTACCAGAATTAAAGAAAATCTTACCCTTATTAAGGAAAATAATAAATTACCTAGAGTCCAGAAGGAACAATCGGTCTTCACTGGGTTCATAAGATCATGCTGCAAAAAATAAATAAAATTAAAGGTGAAAATACTAAATTATTAGCTTACATAAAACTAAGAAGTTGAAGAACTTACATTAAGGTAAGGTGGGTTGCCTTTGATCCCAACTTCCAAACGCTTAGACTCAATCTTGCAATAAAAAAGCTTCTTAGGAACATTTTCTGGAAGAGTTATGTAAATGTTCAATTCTTCAAGCGTTTGGTCCCATTCGAACACCTTCTGGCCTGAAATTCAATTGTCAACTCCACAATCAACGTTATCATTTTCCATATGCACAAAAAAGTTAGTAGTAGATGAGGAAAACGAAGAGGATAAGGAGTTAGAAGTACCATTATGGACGAAGCTGTGACGTTTCTCAGGGGCCAATTTTTCAGCCATTGATTTTAGGGTTCAGTTTCTGATTTGGGTAATTTTCTCTGATTTTTATTCTTCCTTGGCGCGGAATTGTTCTTTGTTCCGGGTATCTGTCTTCCTGGCTGGTTCTCGTGCTCTCGAATCTTCTCGACCCGGTCCAACCCCGGGTATGGTATGTATGGACTGTCTTAAGGTATGTTTGGTTAAACTTGAAAATAATTTTTCTTCAAGTAGTATTTCAAGTACGCAAAGTTATACATCTGATCGGTTGGTAAAAAATAATTATATTTTTTTAGTTTTAAATAGTACTAAAAAATAAATTTAAAATATCACAAATTCGATTAACTCTCAAAATTTTACGCGAATTCTATAATTAAGACGAAGGGAATAACATATATTATTTGAAAAATTACTATATAATTACTACTCTTCTTATATAGTAATATTTTAATTTTTTCCTTTTTAAATAGTACTAAAAAATAAATTTAAAATATCACAAATTCGATTAACTCTCAAAATTTTACGCGAATTCTATAATTAAGACGAAGGGAATAACATATATTATTTGAAAAATTACTATATAATTACTACTCTTCTTATATAGTAATATTTTAATTTTTTCCTTTTTAAATAGTACTAAAAAATAAATTTAAAATATCACAAATTCGATTAACTCTCAAAATTTTACGCGAATTCTATAATTAAGACGAAGGGAATAACATATATTATTTGAAAAATTACTATATAATTACTACTCTTCTTATATAGTAATATTTTAATTTTTTCCTTTTTAAATAGTACTAAAAAATAAATTTAAAATATTACAAATTCGATTAACTCTCAAAATTTTACGCGAATTGTATAATTAAGACGAAGGGAATAACATATATTATTTGAAAAATTACATTAAGAATACCATAAACCACAATAGTTAACAACTTACAATATTTGAAAAACATATTAACTCTCAAAATTTCACATGTGTCACATAAATTGGGACAAATGGAGTAACATATATTATTTGAAATTACGTTAAGAATATTATTAATCACAACTTAAAGTATTTAAAAATACATAACATATATTATTTGAAAATAATGTAAAAAATATTATAAATCATAATAATTAACAATTTAACGGATATTGTGCCCGTGCTTCCATTTAGAAGTGAGAATGTTTAGGAGCTTAGGGTTAGTCAGTCAATTGACCGATTTGCCCTTCTTCTTCAACTTCCTCTATTTACTACAAAAATAGTACTAAAAATCAATTTAAAATATTAAAATTTTGGTTAATTCTTGAAATTTCACATGTATTGCATAATATAATAGAGTAGTAACATATATTATTTGAAAATTATATAAATAGTACTAAAATATAGTTTAAAATAGTACTAAGAATTTGATTAACTCTCGAAATTTCATATGTACTGCGTAATTGAGATTGAGTGAGAAATATATATTATTTGAAAAATAGAATAAATATGTGATATTATTAGAAAGAGCTTTAATATATATTTTAAAAATTATTTTGTCTTCCGTATATGATTTTCTGCATATATGTGGAGTTTTAAAGTTTTTAACATTTTAATATAGAAATATGATTATTTGAAAATTTTAGTACTTTCTTCATTTAAATTTTTCCTTGTTTTTCTTTTAATTTGTTCTAGATTTAAAAATTACATAAAAAGTACTTAAAATCACAATGTAATAATATAAGATATTAAAAAAACATAATTAAAAATCATAAAAGAAATTTTATTGACTCTTTAATTCCATATTGAAACATAAGAAGTTTGTTTGAAAATAACATAAAAAGTAACGTAAATTAAAGTAAAATAACAACTAAAAATATTGAAGAATCATATAAGAAATTTAGTTGAGTTTCGTAAAAGTACCTACGTCACATAAAATGGAACAGAAAGAGTAATATATATTATTTGAAAATGATATAAGAAGTGCTATAAATCACAATAAATTAACAACTTCAAAATATATTTAACAAAATCACATACAAAAAATTATATAACTCTCCAAATTTCATCGGTGTCACATAAATTGAAACAAAGAACTACTCCCAATTTATGTTATTTACTTTCCTTTTTAGTCAGTCCCAAAAGAATGTCACATTTCTATATTAAGTAACAATTTGATTATAAAATATTTATTTTACCCTTAATGAAATAATTTACAGTCATACAAATTTATATCATTCATTTTGGACCACAAGTTTTAAAAGTCTTCATTTCTTTTTTAAACTCCGTGGCGAATCAAACTACCTCACATAAAATGAGACGGAGGAAGTAATATACATTGGGCCCGCGCTGGCGCGGGAACCTAATAACTAGTATATATATATATGAAAAAAATGTATATTAAAAAATAGGCACAATACATTATACATAAACATGTTATTTAATTTAGCCTACATTTATGTCTTCTAAATTTGACTATAGTCCAACTTGTATAAAAGCTGAACTAGCAGACACGCTTAAAATGAACTTACTTTGGCCCAAAGAAACAGTTTGGATGCTTCATTTATTGTGTCAATTATTCCTCATTGATTAAAAAGAGAAATATTATGTATTTATAGACTGACGGACTCTCCCACATACATAGTAGACCAATCCTTTGGGTTGTATTCTCCTAATCAATCTATAATAATTAGTATAAAGTAGGTCAATCAACTCGAATTTAAGTGTCACAAGAGATGTAGATAGAATTTTGAATTTAAGGGTTATGAAGTTGCGGAACCCATAGACGAGGCAATAGCTCTACGTCAGGATGTCAAGCATGGAAATTGCACGGATCAAAGAAGTTGCTTATTCAACTTATACCACTTTAGGATTGGAGTAGGAGTTACCTAAATGTGACTATGTACAAAAGCGGATTTTAAAGTTTAAAGCATTGAATCATTATCACTGCATTCGTATTAATTTAATTGTGACAATGAATGTGAATTTAGTGTAAGGTTGATTAATGCAATTGAAAAGACGATTAATGTATCAAGAAACATCTCACTCAAAAAAGATGGAAGGCAAAGGAGTATTTCCTATCCCCTGCAGAAATTCGAGTGACAATGAAAAGAAATTATCATTCAACAAGTTTCAGCATTGCATGTGTTTAATCCTGTCTAAGAAATACCCTGCACTAATCATGTGTAATATCCTGCACTAAGGCAAATAAAGTAAAATTTTCTCTACTACAAAGCAAAACCTCTTATCTAGATGAGTTCATAGTTTGAATACAAAGTGAAGCTTCATTCACCATGTAGGGATTTTCAAGATCAGCAATCTACTCATGCCAAAAAAGAAATTACAATCTCATCATCTTTTTTGGAAATTGAGAACTTTGACTGATAATGCAAAGACAGTGAAGAAGAGCAAGCAAAATCCAACAAGTATGAGAGCTGACCACCCAATCCATCCAGGTCCAAAACCTAGACTGACCTCCAGATACTCTTTCACAGTGCCTTGAAATCCAGGTCCTGTCATTATTTCTTCTACATCGCCAAGTTGAGAGCTAATAATGCCCCGCAACGTCCATGCCACTGGGCTGATGTAGTAGAACCATATCCACCATCCAGGGATACTCTACATTGCATAAGATAGAGAAAAACAATGCAAATTATCATAAAAGGATCCAAAAACTGATTATTTATCCTACTAGCTTTGGAGGAAACCATGCAATCTACTACACTTAAATACATTTGCAGAATCCGAAAAACATGCTCTTATGCAATAAGCCATACGCAAGTCCAGAATTTTAACTTAATGAGTCCAACTAATACTTTAGCACTGAACTCCTCGTGCTTCAGAAATTATGAGTTCAAAACTTAATATTTGTCGAAATTTTAGTGATTACTATGTTAAGTTGAACTCATACAAAAGGTCGCATCCGCTTCTGCAATAAGCCACAGTTTAATTGACAAACAAAAACTGGTTCCAAGTTCTTTCCTGCTTTGATAATTACTGTATTTAACAGTTGAGCTGAACTTTCCTATTTCCATTCTTTTACAACAGTTCAAAAAAGGAAATTATTGCGTACTTCTCAAAATCATGATCACCTGTGTGTTAAAGATAATAAAACTAGGTGATTTTAGGACAGGAATTGTAAAATACGAGTAAATTGACCAAATAAACTTAGGTTGATTAAAATATATTATTTAAATTGGACCGTATATATAAAATTATTTGAAAGCTAATGTGGCGCTTCATCATCCAAAACCTCTCTTTTCTAAGAATGTACTCAACAGAGTGAACCTAATATTATTTACACTTTTTTGCCTGCAAATGTGTGCATATATATATTCAATAGTCCCCGACTTAATTCCTATAAGCAGACAAAAGAAATTGGAACACTAATTTTCTTGAGCACACAAAACTGCTGTAATTTATGATGAGTGTATGCTGAGGAAAATAGTACTCACAGGTTTTGGAACAAGAAAGCCAGACATGAGGTTCCACAGCGAATAAAATGCAGATGAAATGACAGCAGCCAAATGTGGAGTTGGCGTAAGACCAACAGCCATCATACCGTAAAAGGTGAAATAGCTGAATGTCAGAAACATGAACACTAGATATAGGAGAAATTTTTCTGCAAAATACCAGCAAAACCACAAGTTAGTTTATCTGACAACCAAGTATAAACAGCAAAGAGTTTAACTTAGTTGCTATGAGCACAGTTCATGAGGAAGAACATGGAATAATGTAATAACATATCGGAATTCAAAACGAGTAGCAACAGAAAGATGCATATTAAATACATGAATTGAAGTTAATGGTCCAAATGTCAGAGGAAAGATGTACATCTCAAGTAATTTTCATTGATATAGAAAGGGCTGAGATTCCAATGGCTATTGGTTACATATGCATCTTTATTTCTTGGTTAACATGTTAATTAGTGTTACCAAGTTTCCTAGAGTTAAACAGAATGTTCACTGGGTAAAATCCAAACCTAAATCGCTTACCTCCATGCAAGAAGCACTACTGCATTTTCATGGATTATTTTAATTATTTCTCAACATAAACTGCAGTAATTACTAAAGAAGCAAATCCATGAATCAAAATAAACAGATATACCCTGCAGACTGCAAAACGAAAAGGGAGATCACATTTTGCCCACTGCTTTTGGAACTCTAAATATTTAGGCATGTTTTGAATAGTGCAAAGCAGCATAGTGA